TTAACATAAATAAATATAAATAGAGAACTAAAATAGAATAAATATGATTAATCTTTTATGTCTGCAATTACCTTCCATACTGTTTTGCAAGTGGACTTTGATCGTTTTATTTTTGTTGTTGACATACATTTAATTTAACCATGTGAACTTTACTACAGAGAGAAGAACACATTATACAGGTAATATCGTGTGGTATTTTGCTCTAATAATTATAAAAAGGAAATATCCTAGTCATTTCACTGAATTATTGGACAAGATAATCACTGATTAATATTCAAGAGGAAGCGAGACAACTGTTGGTGAGCTGTCAGAAAACTAACAAAGGGGTATGACGATTTTTCAGTTCAAAAGATAAAATCGGAAAGTTTATGAAATCTACTTAAGTTTTATATTGCATTAACAATTTTCTTTGCCTGAAATAACCGTTGGTGTTTAAATGTTCATCATTAATATTATAAGAAATGCATATAAAATCTGTATCAATTTCTCGTTTGTATGAAAGGTTATTACTGTCATAAATCTTTAGAATAGAATAGAATAGAATAGAAATTTTTATTTTAAGTAGGGTTTACGTGAATTTTACAAACATAAGCTCTGTATAGCTTTTTGCCGACATATATATTCGTGGTTTTTTTTTCAATTTAAGTCATTTGATTCTGTGTATCTGTACTGTAGGACATTCATTCTACATACTTACATGACTTTTATAACACTCTAAATTATATGTATATAAATGAGTCTTATTATTCAAATATGTTTAATTACTTGTACGGATTCTAAGGACGTTAATATTCTGCATTACCTTTGACAAATAACATTAACGTTCCACTTGATATTTTACATCTAAAATACATAGGCAATCTATGTAGGTTAAGGAATCCTTTTAACAACTCTTTGAGAGGTTCATAGGTAGAGTGTTCCAATGCCAAATATTTACCTCTATCCTGATATGTCTACTTTTCCAGCGGCATTTTAAATTTGCATTTCCACAAAATCAAATAAGTTGATGTTATTTACACATTCAAATTTTGTGATATATTGAAAGTGAAAGACTATCCAACACAGTGTGAGTTTTTAATTGTTAAAATTTTATGTTAAGGCGGCAGAAACCCCATACTTGCTTCTTTGTCCTTCAATAGTTAATGTTCAAAGTGGACAAAATACTGTCGTATTCGTATTTAGAACTATTGAGCATACTTATCTGTGCATTAAAACAACACACAAATAGAATTGAGAATGGAAACTGCTAATGTGTCAAAGAGACAACAACCCGATCAAAGACACAAAGCCAGTATTTTTGAAAAAAAAAGCACTTTCAACAAACCTCCTGACATTGTATTAAATAAACAATATTATTATTATTTCTAATTGATTTGTGTATACATAGAATTCTTCAGAAAACTTATATATGCACAATATTCCCCTTCTTCCTTAAATATCATTACATCATCATATCTGCCTATTTAAATAGTATATGAACAAGTTTCATCTGATTAATATTGTGCTAAGGTTTGACAATAAAATAGTTTTTGATTTTTTGAGCTTTTGATTTTGCCTTTTGGAAAGGAACTTTCCGTTTTGAGTTTTCCTTGGAGTTCGGTATTTTTGTTATTTTACTTTATACATGTTTCGATACAAGATATATTTTTATTACGTGCAACCTACAAATCTGTATTTGGATTTTGGAACTTTGGAAGTATTTAATAAAGAAATTTAACAATATTGCCTCTTCGTTCATATACCATGTGTGATCTGATAGTGCAATAATTCTAAAAAAAAAGTTCTATTATGCTCTCCTTTTACAATAACAGAAGTTAACTCACTTGAAGATCAAAGGACAAAATACCATTGATGTTACAATATTACTCCAACCAAACCGTACATTAAGGCTGACCTGGATGGAAATTCGGATGGAATCATTGGTTAATTAAATATTTCAGGTTTTATGTGGTTACAGTAATATATCCACAGAATTAGAATCATCTATCATCTATCATTATCATGAAATACTAAACACTGTTACTTTTATTTACCTAATCTGCACTTTACAAATGAATTTTATATGTCCTCAGAAAATGTAAATTGACAGGAGTAAGGCCAATTCCGATTGTATGTGTTCACTCACAAGGTGATAACCTTTATGATAACAAACCAAAATATTGTTACAACCTTACATTACACGAAAAGATTGAAAGATTTTTTGAAAATGTTCCTGGAGGACTGAAGAATAATAATTAAATAATTAAAGAATTCACACAATACTACGAATAGAAAGAAAAGGGTAACTCAAAACTACAGGATTTAAGTAACATGACTTCGGGTCTTGTTGTGAAGAAGTTAATGCTTTCATGATTTTCTAGGCCTAAAGAAAAAAGAGAAGGTGTGTATGTTGTTTTTTTTAATATTTATCGTTGACCTTTAGGTAGGATGAAAGGTAGTATAAAGTCCTGACAATTTGAATATTAGAATAACATTTTTTATTTCAAGACTTAGTATAAGCTGATCGCTGAATTGCATGCGATGAAAATTAAAATATCTTAGGAAAGAATGCATGATGGTATTATTTCAAACATATATGGTCATATTTTTTTCCGTAGATTAAAAACTTCTAGAGGCGAAAATTTGATTGATTTCATTATATACATTTTTGATTTAATTGTTTTTTTTTTATTATCAACGTTGACCTTTATTAACTTTTTTATTTCCTGAATGCATTAAAAAAAAGTCTTCCTGAATTAAAAAAATCCATCCTTCCAGTTTTCCTACATCATCCTATAAACATGATAAAGCAATATTTTACAAAACTGAAGCTTGAAAACAATCTCGGTGACAATTGTTTTAACTTAGTAGAAGACAAGCTATTATATTCTTGCAAAATATAAAACTATCTATCATAAATGATATCGCTGTAAGTTTGTTCACATGTTAAAGCAAGAAAAAGTTTTAATCAAATGTCATGAAACTTGTAGGTACTATTTAAATTGGAGAAAGGAAGCTCCATTTCGAATTAGAAATAATTTCAGATTGTCGTTCTAGAATTACAGGACATTAACCATCAAATTTAAGCATTTTTTATACGACCGCAATATTTAGATTTTGGATTTTGGGCACAGTTTTCAAGTTGGTCCAAAATTAAACTTTGTTTAATTTTATCAAAAATTGAATTATTGGGGTTCTTTGATATGTCCAATTCAACAGTGTTTAAGATTTTTATTTTGGGCTTGGTTTTCAAACGGGTCAACATAAAGGTCCAAAGCATTCAAAATTAAACTTAGTTTGATTTTAACAAAAATTGAATTATTGGGGTTCTTTGATATGCTGAATCTAAGCATATAATTAGATTTTTGATTTTGGGAACAGTTTTCGGGTTGGTTCTAAATGGGGTCCAAAATAAAACATTGTTTGATTTTATCAAAAATTGAATGTATGGGGTTCTTTAATATGCTGAATTTCAGTGTGTATTTAGATTTTGGGTTTCGGGTCTTGTTATCAAATTGGTACACATTAAGGTCCAAAGGGTCCAAAATTTAACTGTGATTGATTTCAGGAAAAATTGATTCATTGGTGTTCTTTGGTGTGCCCTATCTAACAGTGTTTCAAACTTTTGATTTTGGACCTGTTTTTCAAACGGGTCCACATTAAGGTCCAAAGTATCCAAAATTAAAGTTAGTTGGAATTTAACAAAAATTGAATTCTCGGGGTTCTTTGATATGTTGAATCAAAGCATATAATTAGATTTTTGATTTTGGGCACAGTTTTCGAGTTAGTTCTAATTTGGGTCCAAATTAAACTTGTTTGATTTTTAACAAAAAATTAATATATAGGGTTCTTAGATTTTGGGTTTTGGGTCCTGCTATCAAATTGGTCCACATTGAGGTCCAAAGGGTTCAAAATTATATTTTGTTGGATTTCTTAAAAAAATAATTTCTTGAGGTTCTTTGATATGCTGATTCGAACCATGTATTTAGAATTTGGAATTTGGACCATAATTGGTAAATGTCCAATTTAATATTTTTGTCGGTACTTAAACCACATTCATTCTGTGTCAGAAACAATGCTATGTCAAATATATAATCACAATCAAAATTCAGAGCTGTATTCCTTATTAATAGAAATTGTAAGTAGAGTCATAGTAAAAAATAGATATAGCACTAAACTTAATTTTATAGTAGAAATTATATGAAAATTTAGTTTGAAATTAACTGTTCATTATTAGATATTTTGAAAAATGATTAAGGTAAGTTTAATAGATTTTTTAAAGATTATTAATGAGGAATAATATTTAGAATTTTTTTTACAATACTTTTCTTATACTTTGTGTAATTGCTTATTTCTTGACCAATTTCAATGTAGTTTAATTCAGTCTTGAATGCATGTGGTTCCTAAATATGCTGTATCTAACCGTGTATTTAAATTTAAGATTTTGGACCCCTTATTTGAATTGATCCAAGGGTCCAAGATTAAACTTTGTTTGATTTCATCAAATATTGAACTATTGGTGTCCTTTGATATGCCGAATCTAACCATGTTTTTAGATTGTTAAATATTGGGACCCTCTTTCAAATTGGTCCACATTAAGGCCCAAATGGTCAAAAATAAAACTTTGTTTGATTTAAAAAAAAAATGAATTCTTGGGGTTTTTTGATATGCTGAATCTAACCGTGTATTTAGATTTTTGATTTTGGGACCGGTCCACATTGTCCAAAATTAAACTTATTTTGATTTTATAAAAAAAAATATATTCAAGGGGTTCTTCGATATTCTAAAACTAAACATGTATTTAGATTTTTCAATTTGGTCCAAGTTTTCAAGTTGGTCCAAATTTGGGGTCCGAAATTAAACTTTGTTTGATTTCAACAAAAAATGAATATATGGGATTCTTTGATATGCTGAATCTAAGTGTGTAATTTGATTTAGGATATTGGACCATAATAGGTAAAAGTCTAATTTCAAAATTTTCAGCTATTTGACCACATTCATTCTTTGTCAGAAACCTATGCTGTGTCAAATATTTAATTCCTTGCCTTCAAGTAGAATGGGTGGTCAATCCAGGCCCAGAGGTTCAGACAGCGACAGTGATAAAGGCTTAGTAAAGGTAAAAACAAAAAGGAATGCATTACAAAACATTTTTATAAAAACTTGTTAACAAATGAACTAATGATTATGGAAATGGTACATCAGTGGCTTTCAAAATTCCCTGAATTATTTTAACTGATTCAGTTACTAATGCACTTTTAAGAATTTGTTATCATGTTTGCGACCTGTCATTTTCCTTCATGTCAAAATTGTTCATTTCTATGAACTATTTGTTCAGTCGATATTTTTTCTTGCTTGCAAAAAAAATCCATGCGTACAGTAATTTATAATTTTACATGTATTTCTTGAATAGCCTTCCATATCTGCCAATTTAAATAAAAAACAAAAAAAAAACATTTTTCATTTAAAGATGGTGTGCAGTGATTCATTTCAATGTGTTCTTTAATAAAGAATATTGACAGTTACTTGTAAAGTAAGTTGAGCTTTGAAATATTTCAGAAGTGCCAAAAAAGCTGACAATTGAGGCATAATATATGTCATTGTGTATTCTGATAGAAGTTTCTAATATCAATATTCAATTATCTATTTTAATGGGGGAGGGGAAAGTCAAAAAAATGATTTTATATGACCGCAAAATTTGTGCGGTCGTATGATGCTATGAAGTTGTCAGCGTCGTCGTCGTCGTCCTAAGACATTTGGTTTCCAGACAATGACTTGAGAATAAGTGTATTGATCTCTATGAAATTGTACCACAAGGTTCCATACCACAAAAGGAAGCTTGGGATTGATTTTGGGGATTATTGCCCTAACTGTTTAGCAATTAGGGGCCAAAAACAAGCATTCTTCTTGTTTCGGGACAATAACTTGTGTATAAGTGTATGGATCTCTATGAAATTGTACCACAAGGTTTCATGTTTTAACGTCTTTTCAGTTGTATTCGTGTGTTATGGTAAAGATAATTAATCACCCTTCATATTTAGTTTGGTTCAACGAAATTTATAGGATATATATTTGGTTTACAGTTTGATTCAGAAGAAACACCGATATAGCTAGATGGTACGATTGGTTATCTTATTACTGCCACAATTTGATATTGATGAGTATTGTGGTTTTCATTGTTGTTAATAAATGTAATGTCAGTATTACAAATCTAATCTTGAATCAATCCTAATCCTATCTTATTTTTGGGAAATATTTTTACAAATTCAAATGTGACGTCACTTTGTGTGTTTTTTTAGAATTTCAAATGTGACGTCACTTTGTGCGTTGATGCTTTGGCTTACTCGGCTGTGTATTTTTATATGTTGGATTAAGTTGTTTTATTCTGTAGTTAGTTCCCATTTTGGTTTTATCATGTATATCTATTATATAGTCATTTTATAAAATTTACTGTTTGCAAAATTATAAATTATTCTAAATAATAAGGATGTTCTTGTCCCAGACAGAAAACCTTTTTGGAAGTTTTGGTCCTCGGTGCTCTTCGGCTTTGCACTTGTTTTGGCTTTCAAGCTTTTTTAATCTGAGCGTCACTGGATTGTCTTGTGTGGACGAGACGCACGTCTGGTGATTGAATTTTAAGCCTAGTACCTTTTGTTAGCTATTATTCGTGTGTTTCTTTGTCCTATATGTTCCCCCATTTATTTGTATTGTGGTCCTGTCATGTGATGTTGTCGTTTTGGTGTTGTGTTTGATGTTGCCATTAAAGCGGGAGGTTTGGCATGCCACAAAACCAGGTTCAACCCACCATTTTTTTCTTAAAATATCCTGTACCAAGTCAGGAAAATGGCCATTGTTATATTATAGTTCGTTTCTGTGTGTGTTACATTTTAATGTTGTGTTTTTGTTGTGTCGTTGTTCTCCTCTTATATTTGATGCGTTTCCCTCAGTTTTAGTTTGTAACCCGGATTTGTTTTTATCTCTATCGATTTATGAGTTTCGAACAGCGGTATACTACTGTTGCCTTTATTTATCCATACCTCAAAAGGAAGGTTGGGATTGCTTTTGGGGGTTATGGCCCAAACGGTTTAGGAACAAGGGGCCAAAAAACTAGGATTTTCTGGTTTCCGGTTAATAACTTGAGAATAAGTCTTTGGATCGCTATGAAATTGTGCTACAAGGTCCATACCAAAAAAGGAAGGTTGGGATTGATTTTTGGGGTTATGGTCCTAACCGTTTAGGAAAAAGGGACCTAAAAATACTTTTCTAATACTGTGTTTCAATTGCTTATTTCTTGACCAATTTCAATGTAGTTTAATTCAAAGTCTTTAAGGTTCTTTATTTTGCTGAATCTAATCGTGTATTTAAAGTTTGGGCCATATTTTTTAATTGGTCCACATTGAAGTCCAAAGGGTCCAAAATTAAACTTTGTTTAATTTCAGAAAAAAATGAATTATGATGTTTCTTTGATATGCCGAATCTAGCCATGTATTTACAATTTTTATTTTTGGGCCCTTTTTCAAATTGGTCCACATTAAGGTCCAAAGGATATAAAATTAAACTTTCTTTGATTTAATAATTATTGAAATGAAGGGTTCTTTGATACGCTAAATTTTAACATGTATTTAGATTTTTGATTTTGGGCCCAGTTTTCAAGTTGGTCCAAATTCGGGGTCCAAAATGAAACTTTGTTTGATTTCAACAAAAATTGAAAATATGGGGTTCTTTGATATGCTGAATCTAACCGTGTACTTATGTTTTGGATTTTGGGTCCCGTTATCAAATTGGTCCACATTGAGGTCCAAAGTGTCCAAAATTGAACTTTTGTTTATCAAAAATTTAATTCTTGGGGTTCTTTGATATGCTGATTCTAACCATGTATTTAGATTTTGGATATTGTACCAGAATAGGTAAATGTCCAATTTCAAATTTCTTAATTCTAAGACCACATTCATTCTGTGTCAGAAACTATGTATGCTATGTCAAATATTTAATCAAAATCCAAATTCAGAGCTGTATCGCACAATTAATAGAAATTATAAGGAGAGTCATAGTTAAAATAGATACAGCATCAAATCTAATTTTAGAGAAAAAATTATGTATAAATATAGTTTGAAATTTACTGTTCATTATTAGATATTTTGAAAAATACTGCCAGGTTACTTTTATAGATTTTTTAAAGACATTGTATTAATGAGGAATGATATTTTAGAAATTGTTCTTTTCATTTTTTGGGTAAAATTTTATGAAGAACTTCGTGATAGGTTTATTATTCTATATAAATTAATTTTCGGAATGCTATGTATATAAATATTATTTGATGAAGTGAACCCCTTTAAAAGCTTAGCTAATATTGTCCATTAATAAATAAAGAAATAATAATTAAATGCTTGATGTACTTGGATATGCTGAATCTAACCACATATTTAGATTTTGGATATTGGACCATAATAGGTAAAAGTCCAATTTCAATTTTTTCAGTTCTTTGATCACATTCATTCTGTGTCAGAAACATATGCTGTGTCTTATATATAATCACAATCCAAATTCAGAGATGTATCAAGCTTGAATGTAGTGTCCATACTTGCCCCAACTTTTCAGGGTTCGACCTCTGCGGTAGTATCAAGCTGCGTACAGCGGAGCATTTTATTTCACATATAACACACTCTGTGGTACAAAATTATAAGCCTGGTATCTTTGATATCTGGTATGTATTTTTTTTTAAAACCGCTTGGTCGATGCCACTGCTTGTGGAGGTTTCCTTCCCGATGGTATCACCATCTTAGTAATCATCACCTCTGTGTTGACATGAAATATCATTGATATTGTCATAATTATAATTAACTGTTTACAAAACTTTAAAGTATTCGAAATACTAGTTATAAGGATTTTCTACCATAGAAATAGATTACCTTAGCTGTATTTGGCAAAACCTTTCGGAACTTTTCGCCCTCAATGTTCTCCAACGCTACTTTATTTTTTTGGCCTTTTGATTTTTTTTTTATTCGAGCGTCACTAATGAATCTTTTGTAGACGAAAAGTGCGTCTGGTATAGTTAAGATACACCATCCACCATAAATTAATATTGAAGTTATTAGCAGAAATAAGAATAATTCTATAAACTTATTGATATTATGATTGAATCAAAACAAATGTTTTGACAATCTTTTAATTACCAAGTATATTCTGAAAACTTTACGCAAGTATGTTCGCATTGTATGGTACATGCAATAAGGAAACCTTCTTTATCTTATTTCATTTCAGATGGCTACATCAAAACAAATTTTATGTGGTATATGTGAAGCCCAACACATGACTAAATGTGCAGATCATTGGTGCCCCGAATGTGACGAAGGACTCTGTAACGATTGTGAAAAGCATCATAGCATATCGAAGGCTTCACGGAAACATGGAATAATTCATATAGAAGACTACAAAAAAATATCACCTGACATCTTATTAATAGGACACCATTGTCAGGACCATGAGAAAAAATTCCAAAATTATTGTCCACACCATGAGAAATTATGCTGTCCAAGCTGTATCTCTACAGAACATCGAAATTGTGTAGGTTTGTTAGATCTTGACGAAATCGTTAAAACATCGAAAACTTCTGTGCTGATTGACAACCTTGAAAAATCACTAGAAGAAATAGCAACAAACATCAATAAAATCATTATTGATCGGAAAGGAAATCTTGAAAAGATCAAGGAACAACGACAGGGATTCCATAACGAAATCAAACGAGTAAGAGATAAAATAAACATCCATCTAGACGAGCTTGAACAACAGATTATTAGCGACTTGCTTTCCGAGGAGCGAAAAATCAAAACAGAGATTGAGACCCTATTGAATCAGCTTTCAGAGAAAACAACACTTGTTCTTGATCTCCAAAACAATATAGTTGCCATGAAAAACCATGCCTCGGACCTTCAAACATTTCTAGCGAGTAAAAAGTTAGAAGAACGTGCTATGTCAGAGGAAAAGTACCTTCAATCCATTATGAATGACAGTAATAGTTTGAATTGTTTGGACTTGAGATGCAGCATCAGTGACAATATTTTGCACATTTCGGACATAAAGTCGTTTGGATCCATTTCAATAGATGTTAGCGCCTCTTCTGCTGTACTTGGGACAGAAAAAGATAAACAAGCACAGATGCTGTTCCATGCAAGTATAGCTAATAAATCTATTTGGGACTTACATGTGACAAAGATAAGACAATTTAAAGTTCCTTGTAAATCAGGTATCACAGGACACACATTTTGTCCGAATGGCGATGTGGTTTTTGTGGATTATGGTCAGGGGAACCGACTGCTGATAATGGATAGTATGGGTAATTTAAGACGTGAAATTTCACTCCCGTCTATTCAGCCGTATGGTATTACGTCTCTGGACGATAATACGATTGCAGTGACTGCATGGTACAAGAATGATATTCATGTTGTTGATATAAATTCAGGAACTATCAAAGCATATATCCGCGGTGACTTTTGTGGAGGGCTAACACGCAGAGGGAATACATTGGTATGTAGTGCTCGTTCAGATAAAATAAAGGCAGTAGATGTGCGTGACAATTCTGTATCTACCTTAATTTCAAAAGTATATATAAATGAACAGACCTACGTTACAACGTCTTCAAACAAAATATTTGTGACGCACTATAACAACAATACAGTAACTTGTTACAAAATGAATGGAGACAAAGAATGGCAATACATTGACCAATTGATGATCAAAGCACCTCTTGGCGTTACCGTTGATAAATACAATAACGTGTATGTTTGTTCATATGGAAATAATTCTGTTGTTTTGATAACACCAGACGGTAAACAAGCGAGAAAAATTCTGGAAGCAAAAGATGGAATAAATAGTCCCTATTGTGCTCAATTTGATCAAAACCAAAATAATTTACTGGTGACATTGATCAATGGCGATGCTTTCTTGTACAACATTTCATAGACTGTTAACGCGACGTTGGTAATATTCATAGTGTCTGCATTTTATATATCTTTCATAAATAAATCGCATTGTAAAAAATGTTGTGAGATTTGTAAAACATTGAAAAGAATAACAAGAATAACCAAAACAAATAAGACAAAATAATAGACAACACCAACCACCAACTCTTCTGAGACGTACAAACACATAGTCAAATATGCCCTGACTTGGTAAAAACACAATATGTGGTGAGATTAAACCAGTTTAAAGTGAGCACCAACACTCCCTTTTTTTCTTTACTAACCATCAAACACACAACAAAATCCCGGCTTAAAGCTTTATATATATTTCATGTATATGCTATAGCAAAAAATATTACTAGTATACTTTTATTGATTGCTACATGATATGGGAAAAGATTGTTTGAAGGAAAGGTGAAGTTGCACTAACAAAATGCTTGCTTGAAGTTTAAGTTTCTGAGCATTTAGAGACAAAAAACACTTAAAAGTTTGATGTGATATAAATTTTGGAGTCAGACATTATATTGAAAACACGGAAAGCAATTTCATTAGGCGTTGCATTTGAATATGAGTATTCTTAGACAGTTTGGACCAATCTTATGCAATTGACAGATCAGATCACACTAATATAAGCACTTTGTGTATGATATTGTTTCCTTTTGTCCTTTATTTTTATGGCCGTTTTGAACTCCCACATATTCGATATATTTGTATGTTACGTTTACACAAATGCGTGTTGGTTTACGACAAAAGTTAGTACAGCTTACCGTGTACGCGAATTTTGAAAAATACAATTATAAAAGTTTTAATATTTCTAAAAAGGTACGGAGTGCTCCACAATAACATAAACTAAGTCAACATGAAGCAATAGTTGTTGATCGGGTCTTGATCATCATACTTTAACTATAGATCTTCTCCAGAAGTGTTCTTAATTCTATATGTTATTCTAGCCAATCGAATTTAGTCACATCATAAGGGAACCAATGAGAAGCGATATTTGTTTAGTTATAATTTCAAGATGACGTGAATATCGAATGAAAGTTATAGTTTCGCACCGTGATGCAAAGCAAAAATGAATGAAAGATGTGGCGTTATACATCAATAAAGTAGCTCGGAACGACACACAAAAACAAAAAATATCTAGAACGTATAATTTGTGTGGTTTAATTGGCGTTTTGACCGAACAAAGTTTGAAAGAAAGCTTAAAATTTCATTTAAACCTTATATATAATTATCAGAAAGATTAAAAGTTTAGAACTTTTTTGAAGATAGACGAAGATAGCTAGGACTACACATGAATACATATGTTGCTAGGGCAGCTCTTTAAATTTTATAAAATCCTTTTCTAATATAAATGAAGATTAACTCTTATTGAACCTTGGATAAGGTTAAGGAATATTATCAATATTATCAATAGGGCAGCCATTGAATAAAGGTGGAGGGAACTAGTACAAATATTACATGAGGTGTTTTTCAATATGTGCGTCCGTCTGTTAATTCACTGAACATTGATAAGTGATAGTGTAAAATCAGTACATCATGGGGTAAGATAAGTATCAATGAAATTCGTTCAGTAAAGCACGCAAAACGCTGAAATTCGTCATGCTTCAATTACTAGTATCGGTACCATTGCTAATGGTATCAATCACACATTAGTCAGTTCAAAGGCACTGGAATGTATAATCAGGCATTATATAAATGAATAGCATATGGTTATGTCTTTATTGATTAATTTGTTATTTACACGGTAAATTTTATTTTAAAGCCGTGAGGCAAAATTTGCCTTAGACGGATTGCCATTCTTTGTAATGTACAAGAAAGGATGTGGCTTATTAATTCGTCACACAATCTTTAAATGCACTTCACAAAACCCAAGGACAAAGGATTAGCACTTGTATTATTGTTCTTGGTCTCAAAGTTACAGTGAGTGAGGCCTTTCGGCATCGAAAAAACGCTCAAACATCACTGCAGTTCAAGATTAAATGGTAAAATCATGTAACGTTTCCCAAATAATTAAATGTTGACTCTGGATGTTATGGAGATTAATTCAGAAAAAAAACCTTCGAAATAAAAATAAGGAAGTGTGGTATGATTGCCAACTATCCACCAGAGTATAAATTACTTTGCTGTAAGCAACAACAGGTCATCGTAAACCCTTTCAATAATGGGCAAAACCTTTACCGTATAGTCAGCCGTGAAACGTCCCAACATGACAAAATGTAAAACAATTTATACGACAAAATCAATGGCCAAATTTATTAAAAATCAATAAATGAAAAACATATATGACAGAGCAACCAACGACAACCACTGAATTACAGGCTCCTGACTTGGGACAGGCACATACAGAATGTGGCGGGCTCAAACGTGTTTGTGGGCGCTCAACCCTTCCACTTAACAGAAACAGGTGTGTAAATATTTTAAATATGAAAAAACTGAAAGAATATGTTGAAAATGGCTTGACTCATCAGATCAAAAACAAATTACATCAAAGATAAATGACACAAAGTACCGATCTAAGAGTACTCGCAGTTACTGAAATCTAATTCAAAATAAAACTTAGGAAATTACAACAATGCAATTTCAACTATCGAAAAAGTCATGTTCTCCCAGACTAAAGTATTAACATCCAACTGATTAAGTGTCAGTCTGAATAAAGCATGACATTGTGCAGTCCAAAAATGTAAATACATAGTAACGACAGGATGTAAGACCATCATAACTGTTTCAAGTTTTCATAACTGTATAGCAATACAATGTATATATTTAGTTGTGTTAATTTATCAAAAGCAAAATCAATATCAGTACCGATAAAGTTTTTTACAAAACGCCAATACATTATATATACAGACAATTAAGACAAAGTGTAAGATTATTTCTCTTTTGTCTTTATAAGTAACTAAAACTGGTCAAAGATAGCAGGCTTATAATTTTGGTACGTCAGACGTTCGGTTGCTCTATATAAGATTCATCAGTCGCACTCGAATAGAAACAGTTGTCAGGTCAAAGCAAATACGACGTTGAAGAACAGTTCAAACCGAAAATTCCGAAAAGTTGCACCAAATATGGCTAATGCAATCTATGCCTGGGGTAAAGAAACAGCCTTGGATTTTCAAATAATTTAACTTTTTATAAACAGTAAATTTACATGAACATTTCGGCGATAAAGTGTATCGACAGGTAGTAGGTATTCCTATGGGCACTAACTGTGCCCCTTTAATAGCAGATTTATTCCTGTATTGCTATGAATCTCAGTTATTACCAAACTCAGTAAAGACACGTCATTATTACATTTGGTTGATACATTCAACAATACCTACCGTTATCTTGAGGATATGTTTTCGTTAAATAATCCAGAGTTCTCTAAATATACTACCGAAATTTACCCAAAGGAACTTACTTTAAATAAATCTAACATAAACAGCAGTAGTTGTCCTTTTCTAGATATACACATTTCAATTTCTTAAGGGAAACTCCATACTAAAATTTACGACAAAAGAGACGATTTTTCATTCCCTATTGTTAATTTTCCTTTTTTAGACGGCGATGTTCCTTTGGCTCCATCATACGGTGTTTATATATCCCAACTCGTTCATTATGCCCGTGTGTGTAGTGGTGTCATAGATTTTTACGAACGTAATCAATGCATCACTGGTAAATTATTAAGTAAGGGATTTTGTTACCATAAATCACTTAAAACTTTTACTAAATTCTTTCAGATACAAAGATTTGATTAGTAAATTTCGCTGTTCCTGTAAAAAAAACTTATCAAAAACGGTATTTCACATCCTAAATTTTACGGTGATATTGTACTAAAAGCGCGGAAATCACTTTGTGATCCGTGTAAGCTCATCGAACCTTTTAACAAACTTATTAGTAAAGGTTATCTTACTAATGTTGTAATTAGATCTTTGAATATAGTTTACGTTGGCACAAATATCGATTTTGTCATCAGCAAATTAAAACATAATTAAATTTGAATTCTTTTCAAACGTTCATTTTCTATATAGAGATTACTCTATCTATATATAACATTATACATGTTTATTAAAAAGTTAACTCCTAACTATCCTACTGCCTGTCGATACTTTAATTTTGGCATTGCACAAGTCATGTCTTCTTTGACTGTTCATGACGTTAAAATACTAAATCCCTGGGATGTGTTTTAGTTGATTTTAGTCTCTGATGGATGATTTTTTATTATTAATTGTTTTTGGCTTTTAGGTTGCACTTTGTAAATACAGCTGTTTCTCAAACCACGCCTCTTTTGGGGAGATATATAATATTCATAGATATGTTAATTTGTTAACGTACTGGTTCCCATTTATGATCTCTGTGTTTCATCTCATAGAGACATCACTTAGGAATGTAACCAGTATAGAAAAACATGGTAGCACCTTAATTTTAATTCTTAGGAGGTCCAAAAATGGAGGTAAGGGTAGTATAGAATTTTAGTATAAGTTTAAACTCTTAGAAGTTCAGGGCATATAAATGTTGAAAATATGCCGCACAGCTTTGACCTTTGAATAAAATAGTAGCTAGTGCATATAAACTTTCCGTTCTAGGATATTATTTTTCACGAAACTTCATAGTAAAAGTGTCACAGTTTTAGCCGCAAAGGGAGTTCCTATGGTAAATTGCATTGTTTATATTTACAGAATTGCAACCTTTAACTAGCTTTCAGTAACGGCGAGTACTCTCAAATCTTACTTTCGTGTTTATTTGACCTGTTGATACAATTTATAATGCATATTTGTTATTAAATGTTTACTTATTTAATGTTATATCTCGTCTCACTATTTCTAATATATACCACCTTTGATAAGTGTTTGGTATGACGATAAATTTTCACTTCTGTTCTCGTACTATGAACAACAAAATTATTTATTTTATAAAAAATATTTCCGTACTCCATGTATACCTTACAACAAAATAATTTTTATTTACCTGTGTACGTTATTTTATTTGGCGGCATTTTGTCCAAGGTCGTGGTTGTCTTTCTGATATTGTTTTACATCTAACCCCCTTGTTTTATTGATTTTGTATTTACATTGTGTCATAGA